CCCCCCGCAACTCCCCCTGCTCCCGCTCCCATTAAGTTCCCGTACTCGGCCGGTTTCCACTCCCTGCAGCACCTCCCCAATTCAATTTCCCCTGTGTTTGACTCACTCCTCAGGCCCCCCGCTGCGCAGCCTCTGGATCCCCTGGCTCTCCACTGGCCCGGTTTTTCCCTGCAGCGCCCTCCAGAACAACTCTTGTCCACCTGATCCTCCTCCAATGCCCACTTGAGCCCCCAAAACCAAACCCCCCCTTCTACACCCGCTCCATCTTTCCGCCGTGTAATCTCCGCCACTACCGTAAGCTTTTTTATTCCGCTGACAAAAGCAATAGGATAATCTGCTCAGCTGCAAAATCCCTGAAGATACTGTCCTTTGTTGTCTTTGGCCCGCTCAGCTTTCCGTGTGCACCATGCCATCAGCAGCTGCTGCTTCTGAGACCTGCTGCCATCCCTTTGCCTATAAAATTCCCACAACGTGCATAAATGTGCGTGACCCACCTGCAAGCTATTTTCTAGAGCCAGGAATTTTCCCTTGGTTACTGTTGCCAGAAACAGTCTTTATTTCATTACAGGTAGAAATCTCTCTGCTAGCTACAGTCTGCCACCTTTACTCCAGGATCATTGTTTTCTGATTTTCAATGGAAGTAGATGATTCACATGAAAAATTATGGTGCTGGAAAAAAGATGAAAATCTGCCCCATATCTGGCCAATTGCATAAGTCTCATTGTGAAAAAAAGTCCAGTTTCTATGTGCTACAAAAGGCAGCTTGGTTGCATCACTGGGGTTCTTTCCACATCAAATTTCTGAAATTTTTCTGATAAAGCTTTCTTTGATTAATTGATATATTTTAATTCAAGTTTCTGTCCTTTAAGAAGCCCAAAAATAGCATAAAAAGCAAAACAAATTGGATCAAACTGAATACTTATTCAAGAAAATTTTGGGGCTTGGAGTTTACCAGCTATATCATTTTTCAAAATTTCTGACTTGAACCACACTGGAGCGGAGTCTCGCTCCCAGAAGACATAAAAAGATGTATTCCATACTATCCAAGTGGAATTAACAACTCCATCTGTGGAAACGACTGGGAGCCTCCATGGAATGGATAGAACGGCTTGTCAGATAGGTATGATCAAACCTTGGAGTTTCCTCCCCAATCTGGTGTTGAGCCAGGATTCCTAAAAAATCACCAAATTTTAATCTTGATCTTCAGATGAGATCACTCAGTTTGTGAGAAAAAATCACCAGTCAAGGAGGGAGGGATTTATCATAAAAACGTTTTTTAACAGATAATTTGTGAACAAAAATACTGGAAAGCTCAATCAGTTGGGCTCATGTGCCACTGAAGATAGTTTTCTTGTTGGGTCTCAAGTGCCAGCAAGAGGTTCAGAGTGGTAAAGAACTGATGAGTTTCATTTTCAAGGGATCTAGTCAAGTTAATGAAGACTGGATACAACATGACCAACTTGTGGGTCCAGGAGAAGGTCCCAATCAATAGGGAAACATCTTGATTAAAAGGATTGAGAGCAGAAAAGAAAAAAGGGGGAAGGTCAGAGCAAGGGGATTTTGAACAGTTGGAATGGCAACTCCAGCCTCTTTTTGGTCAAAAATATCTTAAATCCTGTTTTTCATGAGGTTCTAAGGTTTTCCAGGGACTATCTGTTTGGAATATTATCTTGGAAATTGAAGTATTTTGGGTATTAGTTGTTCCTTAAAAATCATCTGCAAATCTCTCACTGCTTGACAATCATTTTGGGGTAGCCTCCTCTCTCAATCAATCCTGTTTTCCACAGAACACCTGACTTGTTTGAGTCAATCCTGGTAAGTTTACTATTAAAGCAACAAGTTAAATAATGGTTGAGGGCATTTGATCCAATACAATTTAAATGTTGAAGTGTCAAACTAGGCAATGCTTGATAAACATTTTCTTGCACATCCATGTGAGACTTCCTCACAGCATTGGAGGCAAAACACCACACACAGGCTGTACATAACTAATGTACTCAACAAACCAACACATTAGCAATATGTACTTGGCTCAATGTTTAGAGCATCACTCATGAATGCTGAGGTTGTGGGTTCAATTTGCACAGTACACAACCTTCCTTTTCACTTGTTCAATAGGTTATGAGCCCAGCTTAGCGTCAAAGCTGCACCTTGAACTTGGAAAGGTTGGAAGCCTTAGCTAGCAACCCTGTATCAAGCAAGCACAGGGGGTGTTCAAGTGTCAAACTAGGCACTGCTTGATACACATTTTATAACACATCCATGTGAGACTTCCTAACAGCATTAGAGGCAAAATACCACACACAAGCTGTACATAACCAATGTGCCCATAACTCATGAATTGTGAGGTTGTGTTTGAGTCCCACAATAAACAACCTTCCTTCTCACTTGTTCAATATTCAAGAACTTGGAAATCTATCACAGCAATTTATGTGAAACATTAAACTGGGATTTTTATTTACAGACAATTGACAAGGACAGACGATTGACAAGGGTGCACTGAACCAAACAAGCATTTCTGGAAATGTTTCCCAGAGATTCCAATAAAATAAGTGTGGGTGCCTTTCTGGGTCTGCAATTTTAAGAAGTTTCTCATGGTTTGACCCTTTACAGCTAGAGGTGTTGAAGAAGTTGAATTGAGTTATCCCAGGTGATTGCTTCAATTTCTTGGGAGAGAAAAAAAGCCCTGCAAAAACAGAAACATAAGCTTTGTGATGGTCAGAATGATGGGTTTTGTGGAAGATATCACAAAAAGAGTTTGAGATCAACTACATTGAGTTTCTTTGTTGATTTATTTATGTTTTACATTGATGAAACAGCACTTTTTTCATGCCATCTTAACACTTCCGAAACAATTGCTCTGCTTCATTAACCCAATCATCCCCCCCCCCCCCCCCAAAAAAAAAAAAA